AATCAATAGAGTTTTGACAAGTATAAGAGTGAAACAGAATGAGTAATGGTAGAAAGGAGTATGAAGGTTAAAGAGACTGAATACATCTGCGTAAGCCATTGACAACGATGAGTTTGAGCCATGTCACCTATTGCCTCCAGCCATTGATTGATTCTTAGAGTCCCGAGAGCGGACCCCAACCCGGAAGTCTGCATCTCCCTCCCTACCTGACTGACTCAGTTTAATTGTCAAGGATTTCATGGATTGATGAGGCCATGTTTTTGTTTGGCCACCACTTACTCTTTTCCAACCCACAACACCTATATCAGCTAGTAATGTCCGTCTGGGTGGGGGAGGCGATGGTTAGGCATGCGCAGCGCGTCACCTAGTCATCTCAATCTATGTAACTTTATAGACTCTTCGATTGATTTTCCCTATTTGCCCAACACTCTGCGGTTAACGTCAACATTACTTACCTTATTATACCACCTAACGTGAGAAAGAGATCGTAAACATCTATGATCAAAAACAGACAACCTTTTCATGTCTTCAACCCGTATTGGCTATGTTTCAGAGAGATAGAGAAGGACAGACCAAACTGCTGAGCAGTATACACGTCCCTTGGTTGATAGCCGGATGTCACGCCTACGCCAGAGACGGTGTAACTTAGCGAAAGCAGCCCGAGCTTTTTGGATCCGTGCTGTGATTTCGTCACCAATCAATCCGTTCGTGCTGATACAACTTCCCAAACAGGTGAAGTGGTCAACATGTTCTATCACTAAGCTAGGAGTTGACGTAGTCCAGTCCTGTAGCAGCATCTTACATTTCACAGGGGCGAATACCACTGGTATGCCAATACGTCTATTTGTTCGTTGTACCTTCCGATTCACTGAGCCACGCAAATATCAAAAGACAATGGCTGGGCCTGTATTACATAGTTTAAGAAACGACACATGATATTTATGCTGTAATGAGACGAAAACCAACAATAAATAAATTTTTTTCCTCTTCTCTTTCAGAAAGAATCGCTAACACGTAACTCTACTAGGGCAAGAAGAGGATCGTCCAGCTGGGTTTGTTATAAACGATGACAATTAGCTCTTCTGTACCCGATCACTACAAGTTTTGCTTAGGCAAAATACACACATCTCTCACGCCCTCTTCTTCTTCTTTGGTTGCGTCTGTTGTTATTGCACATTGTAATAAACTTTCTTGCAATTAATGGTGTTCTCTGAGCTGGTTGGTTATTTCATCAAAAAGTGCTTAAAGTCGAATCAAAACACCAACAAGGAACCATCATCAAAGACCACAAGAAAATTCATTCTACCATACATGAGAAATATCTTTGAAATAACAGCTAGAATACTGAAACCGTTTGATAAAGATATAGCACACAAGCCAGTCAAATCGCTTAATTCGATATTATGCAAACCGAGAGATCCAACAGAAAAAGGGGATAAAATTAATACCATTTACAAAATAAATTGTATGAACTGTAACAAGCATTACATCGGCCAAAGTGGGTGTCCCCTTCGAATTAGAATCCAAGAACACAAATCAGCCGTGAAAAGACACGATATGTATTCTTTAGTATCAATGCATATAGACAATTATGGTCATCAATTTGATTGGGATAATTTCAAAATCTTAGACAGAGGAAACACCAAAAGTGTAGTCAGGGAATTCCTAGAAGCCTGGTACTCAAACGAGTATGTGATTAACAAACAGGTTAATATAGACGAAATATACCAACTAATAAAAAGTAAATCAGGTGACCAGAAAGTTTAAAATCCAAGTCAATAGAAAATGGTCAATACATATGTAAAGATAGTTACCAGGAGACGCAATTATATCACTCATGAAGAAATTTAAATATGGTGCTGAAGATGTTGTCCAGAAGGACGACGAAAGCTTCGCAACTAAACCAACCAGCTCAGAGAACACTATTAATTGCAAATCATCCACCTGAGCTACAAATTTTCTCTATTATTTCAATAAACGCTCTTAACCAAAATAAATCGACTGACAAACGTGAGAATGGACTGATCTTATTGACTGGGAATTTCTATTCTGATTGATTGGTGATCAGACAAAGACAAAGGTGAGACAAAGGACGATGAATTGGTCACACACATGAAATCACCATTATACGTGAGAAATGATACATTAACATAGTAACTCCATGACAAGATAAATCACACGATTCGTGAGAAAGTATGATGTGTTATTTTATGCTGGGTCCTATCATAAACAGAATGTATATATCTCTTTAACACGTCACTAGGATGCGAGAATGTGAAGCTAAGTTGGTCATTTATCCGAGATACTGAAAAGTGACAGATACACAGGTGACAGACTACCGACTTCGTCTATAACTAGAAACATCTAATCGATATGTGAATCATAAGATTGATGTCAAAACACCTTCTTAAGGTTATTTTTTAAAAACGGTCAAGGGCGTTTTATTGCAATCCGCTGACGCCATTAGCTATTCGTAATCGTAAGCCCTTCCCTCCTGTGTGTACAAAAGCAATTTATTATTAATCTTAACCACCTACATGTTTTTTTCCCATCATGTTCCCCAGTGGAACATAGGGCTTCAACCTAGTGGCTTGAAGTTTCTGTAGCAGTGTTTATTTTACAGGATGGGGTTGCTAGCCTCATGCCCAACTTTTCCTCTTCACCAGCATTATTTCTGGCTTAGTGAGGTAAAGGAGTACGTCGGCCGTGGATCAAACCCGGGACAATGTGCATGGTCGGCGAGTCAACAATCATCGACTGCTGCCACCAACACTTGAATACAAAATCAAAATTCCGCAACCAACCTAACAAAGCGGCACCGAGAAGAATTAAAGCAGTTGAAAGACAACAAAGATCTGCTAATAATTCGCCCCGACAAGGGTACCAGTGTAGTGCTTCTCAATCGAAAAGACTATATCGAGAAAATGAACGATATACTGTCGAATGAAGATAAATTTTCCCAACCTTCCAATGAAAGAAACAAAACGGAACAGATTGAGAAGCAGCTCACAGACATCTTGAAGAGAATGAAGGCCAGTCAACTGATCAGTGAGGATATCTATGACCGGATCTGGCCAACAGGTTCAATAATACCAAAACTTTACGGTCTCCCAAAGGTACACAAGGTTGGTCTCCCACTTCGTCCAGTTTTGGATATGTCAAGTTCCCCTTACCACTCTATTGCAAAATGGCTAGCAGATATTCTGGAACCTGTACGGAAACAATTATGTACGCACTCGCTCCGTGACACTTTCCAGTTCATCGACTCCATACAAAACGTGAATGTATCTAACAAAATTATGCTGTCCTTCGATATTGAGTCACTTTTCACCAATGTCCCACTCACAGAAACGGTCTGCTTCATATGCAAATATATAGATGGCAACCATCTCAATATTGGAATACCAACAACATATTTGAAGGAATTACTATTGAGATGCACTCTGAACGTCCAGTTCACATTCAACGACACCATCTATAGACAAAAAGATGGTATTGCAATGGGATCTCCTTTGGGTCCACTACTATCAGATTGCTTCGTAGCAAGCCTCGAGAATGGTCCACTAAAGCCAAGCACTGACAATTTACGACTGTATAAAAGATACGTAGACGACATATTCATTATTTGTGACAACAACAATGACCCCAATCTACTGCTGAAGACATTTAACTATTGCTATCCAGCAATAAAATTCACTCTTGAAATAGAAAATTCCGTTTCTTGATGTGGAACTAACAAGGAGAACCGATGAGAGCCTAAGAAGATCGAAAAGCTACTTGGAATGATCGGTCTTTCGATGCACACCCTGTCCAAGAGGATTCACGAACACTATCCAGCATGGTTGAGAAAAGGCAATAATGGTGCAATAAGGAGTGCGATAATCCAACACCTGGTTAACACTGATCATTCCATCTCAGCAAACGCTTCCTTCAAAGCAATCTACAGAGTCAAGAACAACCTATCAAAGGCAATACGGTTTCGCCTTCTTTGTATCGCTGAAGCTCTGACCATTCACATAGAAAAACCGAAGCTGTGCATACAAAAGAGGATTACTCAGCCACTTCTACTGTCTTGGTAACAACTTTTTTGATTCGATTTGATTTTTTTGATTTTGATGACTTAATTTTGTTTCTTTGCCTGTTCTTTAATTGCTTATAATTCTTGTATTCATTTAGAACTCTTACGTAATTTCGTATTATCTACTTTGTACCTATGTGCATCCTGAGTAAAACTCACTCATCAAACTATTCATATTATTACAACACTTCTTTTTAACAACTGGTTTTGACCACTCATCACCTTTGTTACTACCCTAATTTCATTAACATCTAATTTTCTTGACTGATTTTGTATTACGTAACTCCAATTACCAATGTTCACTTGTTTAGTTAAAATAACTATAACCAATTGTATTTTTGTTTGTCAAACAACCTAATGTACACATGCATGCAAAATAACACATATATTTGCGGTTGTACAGCTAAGAAAATGAATTCGCCGCCGAAAAGAGACTCTTCGCTGAACTAGGTGTTTTGTTTTCATTAATCTAACAGGTGATTATTTAAATTAATCCCAAAGCGTTTAAGAAAAAATCAAAGCAAAGTATGATGACAAGCCACAAAGAGCGGATGCATCTTCGCCAGCCAGCCAGCCATTGACAACGATGATTTTCAGCCATATCACCAATTAATTGTCTCCAGTCCCGAGGACCCCAACCAGTCAGGAAGTCTACACGTCGTGGCTGACTGGTCTAAGTTAACTGTTATGAATCCGATTGACTGATGAAGCCCAGTTTTAGTTTGACCACTACTCGCTAGCTCTTTGCCAACCTCAATGACGATCCTATGTCAGCAGCTAGAATTGCCCGTCGGTGGCTAGGCAGGCTACATGCATGTCTTAACCATCTCAATCGATGCAGCTGCTTCACAGCTTCGTCGGCTGACTTCCCCTCCTTACCTAACAGCATTCGACGGCTAACCTCAATAAGAAGAATAACAATTTCTCTAAAAAAAACAACTGTTTTTATTTTCACTATATATATATGATTACAGCATCGGGGGAAAAAGTAGGGCGTGGAGGAGGATAAACGGGGAGAAGAGTTACAACTTTACACAGGGAATCAATCCATAAAACTGTATGCAGCGTCTGTCTGTATATAATACTATAATATGATGTTCACTATCACATCACATTCAATATCACACAGCACTTACTACTACTCACCAATACAATGAATACAACGACCACACCAAACCAACAACACCACCGACAACAACAGCATACTTGAGATGAGGACACTCTATATGTGAAGGAAGGAAGGAAAGAAAGCGGGAAAGAAGATATACACACACACACACTTGTCAACAATAATCAATCAATGTGTCGGGTGATGTGTAGAGAAGAGGATACAAAACAAAAGACATATTGGTTGTGTGTGTCAGGGGGTGGGGTTTGAAGGAGAGGGAGAAGAAAGCAAAAATGAAACAAAATGAGTTGACAACCGAAACCGACCAACAAACCACCAACTGACGACGACCGCGACGACCGTCGACTCCTTTCTTCTGATATACAAATACATATACACACATACATACATACATAGTATATACACACATACACAGGACAATATATGATTGAGAAGTTGATGATGTCTTTAACTGATCAAAAGCTTATTTCCTTTCTTTCTTACCTTCTATACACTACACATAACAACACAACAATAATCATGACAATAACACAGTGTTTGTCACACAAATACAAATAAATTACACATTGTACACAAGAGGGGGGACCAAGGGGGGCGAGAAGGAGGGGTATGTGTGTGGAATTTACACATCACCACAACATATCTGTATGTACGTGTATATATTGGCAGTATTGATCATCATCACATTGAACCTTGAACAGTTGCAGTAGCAGCAGCTGATGATGACGTCAGAGCATAACGTAATCCAGATGAAACAACACCGGAAGTTGTACAGACATCAGAAGAAGAATTTACAACAACATTAGGGATTTGAAAATTTGGTATACAACTACGAGCAACGATTGTCACAATTCTGTGTAGAAAGAAATATATATTCAAGAAGAATAAATAAATCAATAAATATAAATATTCTCAGTTCAAAAAGTTATTGAATACCTTGAGAATAGTTAAAATGAACATTTAGGATGATAGGATTTCGTCCAACTTCGGGATTTTTCACAGTGCACACCCACAAACACCCCACTCCACCAGCAACGGGACCGAAGCCGATAACTACAGATTACGAGATCTATCTTGCTGACCATTCACATCAAGTCACAACTGGTGAATTCTAACTTTGTTAATTTCGTGCGTCATATAGCACTACCCTCACACAAATACCTTCAATGAGCACCTCACTTTACCTAGACATCACCAACTCACTCTCACTGATAGCCACTGGACGGATTCTCTGAAGCTGCGCAGTGACCAGTGAAGGTGTCCACCACGTCAAGGTGAAGTGTATGCGCTCACAGTAGGCATTTGTGTGAGAGAAGCGCGCTATGCGACGCCCGACTTGACAAAGTTAGAATTCAGAGGTCGTTGAGTAGTTCTAGCTCAAAGTGACTGAATGATCAACAAGATTGGTCTTGTAACCTCAGAGTCCCTACTTCAGGACTTGGTGACGTTACGTTATACGTGCGAATTGCTGAGAAGTTCCGAACAGCTGTCTAATGTGCACCCTGGCTTTTAATGATCTCTCTAACCTAATGTTAGTTCGAGACGAAAATAATAAGGAACACTTATCGAGGTGAAGGTGATATCCAGAGCATTAACAAAATCCAAAGTAATATATGTTTTTACTTTGATACGACTCGTTAGGTATAATGAATTTAATACACCTTACTCAATCACTGACGTACAACTAACTTTCAGACAACAGTTACCGGGTTCGAATCACTGTCCACTTTCACTACACTAAAAGTTTTCATTAAACGAAGGAATATTTATTTTTAACAACTTTCAAAATCAAAATATACTAACCACTAAGAGTAAATGCCTGTATATAGTGTGACTGACTCGTAACTCATATATATTTCTAGTTATGAAGCCCCTTTTCAACATTCGATATTATTCTTTGGTTTAGATAATCTGATCTGGTTGCTTGGTGATAACGCTCGCAATTGCAGAACTGGGTGATATGGGTTCAAATCTCAGAAGGCACATGACTACCTTCGAGATTGCAGATGCGCCACGATGATGAGTCCCAAAAGGCAAGACACCAAGATCACACGGCGAATTTCGCCAACCATATAATAACTCCTGTAACTCGCCTGGTCAGGAATGAGGAAATGCTGGGGCGTGAGACTAACAACCTCACAATACCACGTAAAAACAGCACAAGAGCTACTGAAACACATCGCCTTTTCTAACCAGTCCAAGGGTCAGTGAACACAGACAGGCACTCGAATGACATTCATAGCACATGTGCAACACACCAAAGACAGTGTTTCCAGTTGACGACACTCAATGAGTATCCAAACAAGCTGCCTGACCTCAGAATTTCTCACACGATGAACCAATCGATCGTAGACAATCCTACGGAGACAGCGATGGTCGAATACACGGAGTTGTTGCACATCACTAGCTAGGAGAGTCCAGGTTTCACAAGAACAGAATAAGACAATGAGCACCGTAGCATGGTAAACCCAACCTTTCATAGTCAGGCTGACATCGCGACAGAGATAGAGATAGCTCAAATTAGCGTATGTCACCCTAGCTTTCATGATATGGCTGGAAATCTTGTCCGTAGAAGTCCCACCAACACTTACACAACTACCCAGATATACGAACTTAATGACAACTTCAAGCGTTTCACCTGGAAGAGTGAATGCAGGTATGGGATCCCTACAATCTTGTAACAGTACTTTGCACTCAGACGGAACAAAGCACAATACCATACTTACAGACACTGATCGCCGACTGATTGAGTGCTATTTGGGCAGCCTACACACTGTCGTACACAGTAAGACGATATTGTCTACAGGAATGTAGTTATTTTTAATATACAGCACAACGAGATATCAGAGTAAAATCTTCTATTTAAAACTTACGCTTCAATCTCTGGATTACATCTAGCGAATTCATGTTCCCAAAATCGATAAGCTGGATTACGTAACAATTCTGCACTAGTCATTAACAATCCCCATGGATGTGGACGATTAACAATTAATCTTTCCATTAGAACACGACTTATTTGTTCTTTTACTTGTTCTTTAGATTGTTCAGAGAATAGATACAATATTGTATAACTGAAGTAATATGTGTGCGAATTTGGATAACGAAGTTGATTTGCCATACAATTCAGTAGGAGATAACGACCTAACGACGATCAAGAAATAACAAAAGGATTACGTCATTCAGTAAATAAAACTAATGTGAAATATGCAAGCAAGAACAACAACGGTGGTGTGTGTGAGGAATAAGATGGTACCATTATTTCGCCCTGTCAGCTTCTCATCAACTGAGTACTACTACAGCGTAAAGCAAAATTATTATCATCATTTATCTGACAACATGTTCCATGGTGCAATCAAAGGTAGTCTTCTCATGTTTGCAAAGTTACATGCATCTGTGTGTAATAGCAGTTACATTGGCGGAGTGGGGAAAAGAAAGAAGGCACACACATCGGTTTTGTGAACGTGTACCAAAATGTGTTTACGTCTTAAAGGGGAAAAACGCTTACAACAGTGCCACTGTCAGTCATCTCGTCCATATGGGGGCGGGGGTCACAAGATGAGCACCGATAAAATACTTCAAATTCTTCTTAGATTTCCCGAAGCAGTCCCTATCAAACGGCTGAAACCCGACTGATGTGTGTTTAGAAAGAGGCAATAATCAGTCTTCCCTTGTCATTCTGATAACTGGATATCGTCTTTAGTCTCTCTCTCTCTCTTTCAGTTGAGATTGCGTAATCTTTGGCTTTAATCCTTTCCCCTTCACTATAGTATACTTTTGCGTATGCCTGATTTCTATGATTTGAGTTAAACTCACCACCACAAAGGTACCCAATTTACTCGTTACTCACCGACTTATCATCCACCTCTTGTCTTTATTGTGCAACCCTCCTCCTTCGTTAATGTATCGGTTCACATCCGGCTGTCAACCAAGGGACGTGTATACTGCTCAGCAGTTCGCTCCGTCCTTCTCTATGGCTCTGAAACATAGCCAATACAAGTTGAAGACATGAAAAGGTTGACTGCTTTTGATCATTGATGTCTACGATCTCTTTCTCACGTTAGGTGGTATAATAAGGTAACCAATGTTGACGTTAGGAGTAGAGTGTTGGGCAAAGAGGGAAAATCAATCGAAGAGGCTATGAAGTTACATAGATTGAGATGGCTAGGTCACGTGTTGCGCATGCCTAACCATCGTCTCCCCCGACGGACGGGCATTACTAGCTGATATAGGTGTTGTGGGTTGGAAAAGAGTAAGTGGTGGCCAAACAAAAACATGGCCTCATCAATCCATGAAATCCTTGACAGTTAAACTGAGTCAGTCAGGTAGGGAGGGAGGGAGATGCAGACTTCCGGGTTGGGGCCCGGCCCGCCCTCGGGACTCTAAGAATCAATCACTGGCTGGAGACAATAGGCAACATGGCTCAAAATCGTTCGTTGTCAATGGCTTACGCAGATGTATCCAGTCTCTGTAATTTTTCATATTCCTTTCTACCATTACTCATTCTGTTTCACTCTTATACTTGTCAAAACTCTATTGATTCTCTTCACTCATTTTCTTGTCTGCCTTTGTGTGCTATTTGGAACGTGGCAACTGGAACTGGTGCACTTCGGTGCCATGTTCTATGTTGAATCCAGCCAGCAGCCTTATCTAACAACACTCGACGCTTAACCTGAACATCACTTGTCATATTATATATATATATACTACTTAACAGGGAGATTGTACGGAAATACCTATGATCTTCAACTTTCAATGGGCATGTTTCACCCACAGGCATAAAGGAGAACAGAGAGAACTACTGCTGGGGGACGCACACAGGTCCTTTGGTCGGCCAGAGATAATGTAGGCTGACAAATACCTGTCACACGAGCCCTTTTTGTATCCGTACTGAGAGAGATTACGTCAGTGTAACCAGTCCATTTATAGAGGATGCACCTTGTCAACATGCTGCACGATCACCACTTCACTGCCCCTATCTACACTTTGATCTACTCAGCTAGGCGTCGGTGTGAAATCATGAGAATATATGAAAATAAGTTGAAAAAGAATCAAAACAAAGAAAAAAAGAAAATTAAAACACACCATACCTTCATTATCAAGATTTAAAACTAGACTTTGTATAATATCCATTTGTGGAGTATGCGCAATAGTGCTCATATTCAAAGGCATGCCTTTCTCACGTAGACTACGTATCGCTGTGATACAAACGTATAATGTTAAATTTGTCATTAATTCAATATTATAATGCATACTGTCAGCCAGACCAAATGTTGCCAACTGTTGCGTAGCGCGTACACCCCACAGTAAAGCAGCTAAAGCGGCACTAGAACTTCCATTCACAGTATCGGGTAAGGCAGTAGCAGATCTTGTCGATGCTGTTCCTCCACCACTAGCTGTATCAGTACTACTACTGTCAGACGGATTCGCTTCCCATGATTCTGATGTACCAGTCTTTCCAGGTGTCTTATTGACTGATTGATTCGATGTGAAATGATCCTCGGTGGACTTCACTTCTTCGCCTTTATTCATCATAGAGCTTGTTGTTGAGCCAACATCATTGGCGGCTAGTGCTACAGCATACGCGGCAAGGGCTTGTTGATGTCTAGCCTGTTGTTGTGGATGATAGGCGAATTGAGGCGGTGGTATTGGTGGCATTATATCATCAGCACGTCTTAGCATAGTGACCAATTCACTCAACAGTTTTACAGGAGCTCGTGTAGTAAGATAAGCATCCAATTCACATCGCATTGGCTCTGGAAGGCGAGATCCAGCCTCCATACAATATCCAGTAGGATCTTCAAGTGATGCCAAGTGATCAACTGGAGGAGCCTATTGAAAATGAAGTATGAAGAAAATTATGATTATTAATCATTAAAGGAACTAAATGTAAAAATATTATTACATAACATAGAGTAACGAGTTGTGTTGTTGTAACTCACCTGTAAAGGATCAGCCGACGGAATACCACGTTTAGGAAGAGCAGACAGGATAATATTACGCATTTGGATAGAGTTTGACGGGACAACATCACAGAACAATGCATAATAATCCGAGACAAAGTCAGGAAAATCATGTATCAGTACCAACAATAACCGTAAGGTTGCTTTGTATAAACACTGAATCGGTTTTGGCATTAAAGCATTCTGTAGGAAATAACCCAAAAACTTCAGCAAATCAGCTAATAACTGAGCATACATTGCCTGATAGGCAGCACGAAGTTTCGGTGGGCCTGGAGCGGATAGAATACGTCCAACAAACCAACGATGCGCTAACATTTCAAGCCATGAAAATACAAATGCAGTCGCTTTCTCTGGTCGTAAACAGTGTAACAAATGACAAAAGATAAGAGGTAATTGTTGTTGAAGCGTTAGTGGACCCAATGATTTCAACGATGAGGCTGCAGTCCGAGATTCGCTGCCACTCATATCGCCGCCTTGTTTGCTTTTATCTGTTCCAATGTTTTGATGAATATTGCCACTATCTGAAGTAGTAGTAGTAGTACTAGGACCAGTGTCTACGCATCCTTCATCCAGATTACCGTCTGATCTTGGTGAAATACCGATTGGGAATGGAAGTATTGCTGGGAATGCATTTGGCGATTGTAATTCCACAAACAGCATAACCAATAGGCGTTCAAAAGGCATTGGATGAAATAAATCACGACGAACTTCATGCTCTTGAAGTAATGTGCCAGCAATAAGCCCCAACACTTTGTTCAACAATGCAACCTACGTGAATATAAGAAAAAAATAATTATGAAGCTATTCGGAAAACCATTTTTAAAAATATCAATTAAAAACATCGATTTATGAAGGGATATCCACATCTCACTGAAATGAGAGAGCTTAGACTATACACGACTAGGCTTTAAGGATAAATTTCTTCTGAATGTTTCAGTTTTGTCAGTGCATACAAGTGTTCGTTTGCAAGAATTTGATTGGTTACAGGATCTCCCATCAAGACTTGATATCAGTTAGAGCTGGGAGTACTGAAAATCTGTCTCGTCAGACTACTTCGAGACTCTTCGCCAGTACGCACCCAGCACCTTTCGGTTACAAGGCGAGCTCGTGAAGCATTCAGCTATTGGGACCTGATATACAATGGCCAGTCCACTAATTCCAACTTCTGCTAATTCACGATATAGCGGCACCACTGCTAGCGATTGGTCATTGGTGGCAAGTATTTGTGTTCACGCCCAACCTGCAGTAATAAATTTCTAAAACTGTCTAAAACAATATACTACTGATTGATTAAGGCGAGTAGTAGTACAACACCACTGGTCCTACCAACCAGTGATGTTGGCTGACCGAAAGAAAGTGGCACAAACAACGGATGACTGTTTCCCTCGTTTCAGATCGAGTTCACAAGCGGTAGTGTGTACCCACACACACACAGACAGACAGACAGCCTAGCTCAGTTCAGATTGATGAATTACAATTCGAAATTGTGGTGAAATGTAGAAGAGACGTCTGGTGTATGTGTGTTGCAGACGCTGCATCACCAGTTTACTGGCATACTTCCGGGCGGAGAGGGGGTTAGGATATGCGAGGAAATTTCCCCAAAACATTAGAAAGTCCATTAAAAACAGACAATATATGAAATGAAGCACAGTATGTGATGAAAACCGCCGATAATTACTATACTCTTACCTTAGCATTAGAATATTCCCCTTGAGGTGTTTCGCCTAACTGATTAATGATGATAGTGACTAGACGAGCATAAGCATCTAACTCGACATAGGCGGCGACACGATTGATTGCTGGATTTGCTGCTCCGTTAGTAGTACTTCCGTTACCAGTAGCACCATTAGGAATTTGAGCTTGTTGTTGTTGTTGTTGATGTTGGTGGTGTTGTTGCTGTTGTTGTTCTTGCAGTTTCAACTGTTTCAAGGCTCTTTCAATCACAAATATCGTGGCTAATCGTAAAAATCGGGTAGAATTATGAATATTGGGTAGTACACCGATTTGTGTCAGTTGGCTTATTAAAGCTTCAATAGTAGCCGGATCACGTTGTTTAGGACTCTGGTAGATTTCAATCCAATTTCTCATGATCAGTTCAACTTTCTCCTATTTAAAAAAGAAAAATCAATATGGAAGATAAACCAATCAGAATGAATTATGGCCATGTATACTTACACTCCCTGGATTTCAAGGGGACGTAACCTGAGATAACCTTCTCAAGAGAAGAACCTTCACAGCAATGTTAAGAGTAGTATCCTTCAGTCGGCCAATGGTCTGAGAAGAAGGAGGAAGGACAAGATCTCATATCTGACCATTTTGAGTTCACCTGTTCCTGTGGAACCTTATGTATTTGTCTTCCGACGCGTATCTTCTTTCAAAGGCTTCACAAGAACGCTACCCCGTATACTTGCAGAAAGGCAGTAGTAGCTCTATAGTTCTTTCTATAAGGAGTCCGATAAGTGAACACCTTGTCAACACACATTGATCATTCTGTCTTAAAAAACTCCTCCTTCAAGGTGATAAGGTACGTGTAGGAAACATTTTCATCATTTGGGAAAATAGTTATGACCTCCCCTCGATCAATCGCTACAGGTGTTTAAACAGCTGCCATCCGGTAATAAAATTTACACCTAAAATGGAGTCTAAAAATATCCTCTTGTTTGATGTGGAACTAATAAGAAGACTTGAAGGAATGTTAACAAGACCAGCCTATAGGAAAAACCATTTGGAACGGTCAACTAACAGCTAGCATCGAATGAAAACGAAATTTAATTAAATCCCTTGCCACTAGGATCCGACGCATTTGCAGTCCTGGTGACCCCCTGGAAACAGAGTTGGGTATTCTGAAACAAACCATCCTCCAAGATTTTATACCCACCAAGATTCATCGATAAGAATATCAGACCAAAAGTCCATAGGAACGAAACATTACTTATTCCGAAAACCAAACTTTACACGAGCCTAGATTTCAAGTTAGACTTAGTCTGCGATATCCTCAAGGGAAGAAAGAATTTCGTCATCTTCGGGAAGAACATTCGCCGCAGCAACACTGAGAGTAGTGTTCTGCAGTCATCCATTATTCTGCAGAAGCCTTAAGGACAAGATCTCACATTTAACAACTTCTATATGCATATATCAGTTCACCTGTTCTTGTAGAGTTAGGTACATTTGGTTACTCAACGCGTATCCTGTCTCAAAGGCTTCAAGAACACCTAACCCACAAGGTTATATAAAGGGTACCACAAACGAATAGCTTGTCAACACTAGTCATTCAGTCGTCTCAACAAACATCTCCTTCAAAGTGAAGAATATAATCACCTGCCAGAGACAATACACTTTCGTCTCCTTTGCATTGTTGAAGCCACCGAGGTGTGTGTACAGCTCAAGAAAATTTTCCAACCATTTCTAATATCATGGGAACAACCATATTACTTACTTTACTTCGGCTATCTCCTGCGGGAGGATGAGCCGGCTTCATGAACATCTCGAATCATCACTGCTCAGGCGCGGCGATCTGATGCAAGGTTTTGCGACAGGGTTATCCGATTCTTGTTCCACAGACGGAGTCCGTAGACGGTTTGTAGCCCCAGGCACTCCATATCAGCCTTGACTGTACCTCGTTTGTAAGAGAGTTCATGAAGTTTCATGGGCATTTGGTACGAGTGATGTCCCCAGAGTCGCTCGGCCTTTTGTTTGAGAGTGCAGCTCTAGCCTTTACACAACCAAGTGTGACCTACAACAAGGTAGTAGGAGTGGAGTAGGGAGTCCACTATCCATTGGCAGCCGGTGACCGGAGTTCGGTTCATACGCCTTCTTGAATGGGGCCAGACATCCAGGACATCCAACAAGCCCTTTGTCCATACGTCTGCCGGTGAGCTAGCTCCAGTGAGCTTCATACGCCAGTCGTTGGAGGTTTGGAATCAGGGTTTAGCCATCTCCCCTAGACTGTCATCCAATGGACAGTCAACCCGGGCATCCGCTTTCACCCTCTCACTTTGGTGAAAAACACCTCCGCCACGTGAAAGCAGTGAGTAGGACTTCCTCAGGAGAGGCTATGTAAGACGCCCGGTCATATGGGAGCATTTCAAGAGGTGTGCGGAAGGGTGGCCAACCCGCAGCGCAAGGCACCCACCTCCGACCATCCTGAGGCTATGGAAATGAAATCGTCGAAAAGAGAATTTTCTTTGCTGAATTCTTTATTCTTTATATTCTGTTGCGAAATCGAAGTAGCAATACATAAATAGTTTCAGCAATTCGTTATGTTTTATTGATCATATTGTATTCTACCAACTTAATTTGATTTGTTTTTAACTCTTTATGACTACTCGTGTATTTCTTCTTTCGAAGTCTTACGTAACTTCATATTTTCCCACTCGATAGAAATTACTCATCTTATTACGTAACCTCTAATAAGCTCACATCAACTCTTCTTATGTACAGGCAAATGTTGGCAACTATGACTTTATGACACCTAACCCCTTTTGTTAATGGGGTCTTTCAAGAAAAAGAAATGTGTATAAACACGATTGTACAACCTAGTGGAGGTATTACTTAGTTTCTTCCCAATGGAGTAAATATTTTTTTTGTATTCCTTCACGTTCCAAGTGGAACATAGGGCTTCAAGCTGGAGACTTGAAGTTTTTGTAGCAGTGTTTATTTTTACAGGATGCGGTTGCTAGCTTCATGCCCAACCTTTCCTCTTTACCAGCTTTATTTCTGGCTTAGTGAGGTAAAGGAGTGCGTCGGCCGGGGATCGAACCCCGGACCGTGTGCATGGTCAGCGAGCATCCTAACCGCTGTGCCACCGACGCAAATGGAGTATATAGAGGGCTTCTAGCTAGAGCTTAGAAGTTTCGCTACCAGTGGTGTCTTTTTTTACAGTGTGGATGGAATTGTTATAGCCTCACATCCGCTAACCTTCCTTCTGTATCGCCCTCATAAGAGTATATTGTCAGGGGAACAGAATCCCGGAGCAAGTGGGGTATCGTGGTTAGTGAGTATTGCTACCGCTGAGCCATCGATGAATTCACCGAAAAAAAGGCCACTTCGCTGAACCCTATTTGTTTTCTTTCTCTTCACAATAATGTTTAGAACAGGATTATAATTCACATGAAAAAAATTGAAGAAAAAGAACTTACTTGAAGATTAGGTGGATCATCGAATTCATGCGCTTGACTGCATCCAGCATACAATGCACTGATAGTCGACGCCGATGGCCCACCACCACCACTACCAACATTGAATAATGGTGATTGTTCCATAAGTCCTAAATCCAACAGACCACGTAAACGTGCACAGGCTAATCGTAGTCTTAAACCAAGAGGATCTGTTAACGATGATGTTGATGATAGACTATTATTACTGTTATTCAGGTAGGCAACACGATGACGTAATGCTTCTAGTGTTGACCATAAATCATATTCATTGAGGACAGTGAATTCACGCTTTGTTGACGGAGATATTGGCCCCCCGACGACACCACTGCCACTACCACCGCCGCCGCCGCTACCACCACCGCCACCACTAGTGGTGGAATTTGTGGAGACGCTCACATTACCACCACCACCAGAGGATGATGATGTAGCAGTGCTAACAGGATTCGATTGAGAAGTTGACGACGACGACGACGACGATGAGGCGCTGGCACGAGCATAACTAGCAGCTGCAGCAGCAGCAGCACCCAATGATGTACCAGTTGGACTAGGCAGAACAAAATGATCCAATAGATCAATGACAAAGGTAATTGCTGCTGGATGACCTTTTGAGACTTCTTGAGAGAGATAGGCATCAATCTAGAATAGAATGATAGAATTTATAAGTACAAGTGAATATGAGATAAGAAAGGGAAAGCAAAAAACAATCAATCAAATATGTGTATATACATATATAAATTAACTAACTTACTTGAGAGAAATAGATAACATGAACTCTTAAGAGTTCAGCAAATGCTTCCCAATTCCATTTAATTGAACCAAAACGATTCTCATAGTTACCAGAATTGATACCATTGTTCTCGGTGAACTAAGGAAAAACAGGAAAATGGAGAAAGTTGTTTAACCACACATACACACAAATCGATCTCTACTGGAGTAAAGAGTGGTGCAATATGTTGGACATTAGTCATTGGCTAATAATTAGCTAATACGTTGGTCTTACGTTTGAACCCCTCCATATCTACTTAACTTTGATAGACAACTGAGTAGTATAATCAGTCCCTACACAACAGGAGGATATAACAAACTCCTTCGTCTTCGCAATTACAGGAATTTGAGTATCCCAAATAACACGCTCAGGAATACTGTCCATTCTGACTAGAACAAGCAGGACGTAGGTATAGATATGAGATGGAGTGGATTTGTAGCTCAGGTGAATGATTTTGATGTAGTTGTGTTCTCTGAGCTGCATAGTTTATTTGCAAAGCTCTCATCATTGTCCTACTAGGCAACATCTTCAGCGCATACTTCAATTTGAATTGAAGTGAGCTTGTAGAAATCTCTACGTGTTTATTAGTCATCTCTCCTGGTGACCACCTCGAACATGATTGGTTGTTTTCGTGTTTTCACACCCTCTAGGCTACTTGTATTGGAACTGATTGTACAAATATATAGCTTGTTAACACAACATCTGGAGTGAGTACCAAGGCCATTCAGAGCTCCATTTGAAATCCTTCAAAGTCCTACAAACAAGATCCAATTATCAAACACCTGTCAACGAGAGTGAGAGATCAAGTCATCTGGGTATAAAGATGAGGATACTAGGGAGAGATCTACAAAGTTCAAGCCAACAATGCAGTACATGTTTATCAAAAGAAATCCGTTCAAGATTGTATTTTTACCGCGGGGCCTTCATAAACAAAATTAATTCTCTATCTTAGTGTGACATTTCTTATCCAAACTTCTTGTTTATTTTTGTTAGTTTTACGTTATGCTTAATCCCTAGTTTGTAATCTTGACGGGAAATAGTTCTGGAACGTTGTCAACATACATATACGAATGACTTAGTCAAAAAGCAAGCAGATCTTCTTCGCTCTTATGCTCTGGTGAAGCAATTTATTCACAAAAGGAATAATTAAAGCATTGAATTATTTGTTTTAGTTCACAATTAACAATTAAGGATGACTCTAAAAAGTATAACAGCCGGAAACGAAACACTCAACTTAGTGAACGGACGTAATGAATTTGAGAAATGGAATCAGATGATTCCGTACTATATCTGAGAGCAATTATGTGAGGGTTGGACACCAATAATGTAGCAAATTTCATCCATATCTAATTAGTATTTAAATAATCCTTAGATAACAGACTCATCATAAGAAAGGAGAAAACGGTAAAACTGAGTGCTAATAGTTGACAGTGTGCGTCGGTGGTACAGCGGTTAGGACGCTCGCCGACCATGCAAATGGTCCGGGGTTCGACCCCCTGCCGACGCACTCCCTTACCTCGCTTAGCTAGTAATAAGACTGGTAAAGAAGGAGGTCTGGGCATGAGGTTAGCAACCCCATCCTGTAAAAATAAACACTGCTACAGAAACTTCAAACCTCCAGCTTGAAGCCCTATGTTCCACTAGGAACGTGAAGGAATAAAAAAAAAATAGTCGACAGTGGATACTTGAATTATATGACACCACAACACCACCCTGAGGAAAGGATACAATATCCACACGATCCCTGATAGTAGTGTCAATGTTTTATTACTGATTATTCTCTAACGTTTATTCCTTCCTACCCTGATGCAACCATTAACACAGACCAATGGAGTGGATACAACCGACTCTCATCTCTGGTCCCTGGGCTACATTCACAACATGGTCAGTCAGTCAGTCAGTCATACAGATGACTTCGTTAGTCCTTCCGATGGGACTCACACAAAACTAATCGAAAGTTCAGGGAGTCACCTAGCCTAAAAAGAGGATGAAAGTGGTGAATGAGTTGGTCAAGAAACACAATGATTTACAGTTATCTCGACAAATATTTTTGGCGCAGAAATTGGTTTCACTGGTCTGTGAAGAGTCCTATGAGAAAGGTTATCTCACGTAACCACTTTGATTAAACATTGCATTACTATTCTATACACATTCTTTTAAAATGACGCACTTTTACTTCGGATGCATGTGATTGGTCGATAGAGGTTTGTGAAGGTCGTTATTAGGTAATTTCGTTTTGGGGGCCTATTGACATGTCTCAAAACGAAGACAATTCACGTCAAATCGTGAAAGAAAGAAAAATCGTAAAAGGAATTTGTTGAAAAGCATTCAAATCAATACTTTAAACAAACACACACACACACACAAATTTACCTGTTTCCAACCAGAGCTTGCCCAATTGGCTGCATTAGCAGCATCTGTCATATCGAGTTGAGTTTTTTCACTCGTCGATTTTAAATCGCTCTCCTGATTTTGTAGGGTATCAGAGGTTGACACACCGCCACCAGTATTTGACGATGATGATGATGATAAAGGCATTGAACTTTGGCTACTGCTTCCACCGTCTAGATGAATCCATGTAAGTGTTACCTGAGAGGAAAAAAGATGACAAAAGTTAGACAAAGCGATGCAAATGAAGAAAGTAAAAACATTGAGCAGATATATATACATTTACTTTTCAACTAGAAATAGTTACAAGTAGACTGAAGCCTAATGCACAATTCTAGAAGACTGAAGAATAATTGAAGAACAAGTGAGTAACTATCAGTTTAACTGAAGCTGTGGAGCCTGCCTAGCTACATTTGGCGGACAATTAGACGCATTTATCACATCGTATTTCCGAACATCATCCTGCATAATGGTTAGGCAAGGGATAGAGAAGATCTAATCGTAACTGGCTCTGTGTTTATCACACCTTGTAGATGAGCATAAGGCTGGTGTTATTTCATCACATTCCTAATAATCTTAATTTCGCCCTACGAGTTTCCTCCTGTAAATATAAAAACCGGGACCATAGAAATTCACCTGAGGAAATCAGACCTGTGCGTTCAAAAAAACAATTTGCACACCCACTTTCCTTACTTTGGACATGGTTACATGAATGCTGTAAAGAACTGACAATTTCCCCCTTCACCTAAGCTCTTTCAAAAATTACTTTTTCTGACTACTTCGTCCGTAAATTACAAGTCACCATTATGCAAATTATTATATTTTTTCTTCGACTATCTATTACGTAACCAACTTGAACACTCGCTTATTCCTTAATCAATTTTCATTTTTCCGAAATTATGCATTATGCAATCCACTCAGTGTAACCATCTCTATCCTTTAATTGTGCGTATTAATTTTTTTCGTTAATTATCACCCCCACCCTTTTTTAACGTGTTGGTATTGACTGTGAGTCAGTGGCACAGTAGTAGAATGCCCGCCAACCACGCCTCATGTGGTTCGGGGTTCGATCCCAGGCCGACGAGGCATTGCTTTACCTCGCTAAGCTAGTTATAAGACTGGTAAAGAGGGGATATGGGGCATGAAGTTAGCAACCCCATCCCGTAAAAACCAACACCCCTGTTACCAATACTTCAAAGCCCCAGCTTGAAGCCCTATGTCCTACTGGGAACGCGAACGAATACAAAAATTATTGTTAACAAACTCATCGGCGCCACTTGGTCGGTAAAATGCTGTGTATTGTGTGTTGTTGAAAATGCTACTTATATTAGAGTAGAGACAGAGATGAGGATCTACTTGAAAAGTAAACATATATTCGATCAATCTTCTTTGTTTTGTGAATGGCTATCTATGGAGATTTTCTCTATATTACAACAAACGAAGAAAGTAATACTTTGAAAGAAGTCTAGTGTTATCACATCATGAAATCAAGTTAAGTTAAACAACACTCACTTGACGCGTAACCCATGCATAACCGAATGGAGATTGTTCAAAAGACAACAAATGCCGTAGAGTAAGCATATGAGCCTCTTTAAGATGTTCCATTGTCTCTAAACCACGAGTCTGCTCACGCCAATAACTTGGTCGATAGTGTTCCAGAAAACTTTGTACCATCACAGTAATCACATTGCTGGCGACATTTGTATCACGACTAGACTTGGCCAAGTGGATAGCATCGATTAGACAACGTAGTGATTGACACATTGGATCGTTTGCAGGACGTAATCTTCCAGATATAGCGACTAAATGACGCTCAATTTGTCCAATAATCTTGTCAAATAAACCTGCCAATGGGGCCTGCAGGAAAATATTTAATAAAAATCCAATTATATACATGAAAGTCTTTTACAAATAAATTGTATTTGTGCAACATACATTTCAAACAATCTGATCCCTGACACATCTACTTGTCAAGTCAATTAATGTAAAAAATAAAGACCAATTAAAAAACACAAGGCGACAAAACAGATTTAAGAATAATGAACACTACCTTTGGTTATTGAATAAGATAAGGATTAGGACTACACCAAGGTAGGTTGGTTAAGAGTAATAATAAGTTGTTTTTGTACACACATGAAGGGAGGGTGGCTCAAGTTAACGAATAGCTAATCACCTCAGCGGATTTCAATAAACGCCTTTGACCGTTTTTAAAAAATGAATTTAAAAGCTGTTTTGACGAATTTCTCCCTAAGAAAGACGTATTTTTTATTAAATTACTCTACAATGGGGAAGTAAACAGTAGGAGTTCAAGACAGAGACTAAATTCGGTCATTTATAGAATCGATTATGCAGTCTCGTTTATAATTATTGCTCTATACTCTAAACCTCGGTCGGTCGATTTTCGACATAGAACTTTGCACTGATGTGCGGCAGTTCAGGTCGCCACAATCCATGTAGTACACAAAGGAAGAGAAGAAATTAGGAGAAATGCATAATAGTGACAGTAAACAGAGGTGTGAGACAAAGGAATAGTTATAACGGAGAACAAAACAGTTTCATTAGAAATCGTAAGTCACAAGGAGAGGATGCATCTGCACCAGCCACTGAGAACGATTTTGAGCCTTGTCACCAATTGTTTCCAACCATTGGTTTTTACCGTCTCGAGGACACCACAACCAGGAAGTCTACACCTTCCTACGTGGCTTAGACTAACTGTTATGGATTTCATTGACTGGTGCCATGTTTTGGCTTGACCACCACTAGCTCTTTTCCAGCCTGACCATATATCAGCTAACATTGCCCATTGTCGAGGAAGGCGTTGACTAGGCATGCATGCGTAACACATGTCCTAACCATCTCAGTCGATGTAATTTCACAGTCTCGACTGATTTCCCCGCCTTACATAGCAATCGACCGATGGCCTAACCTCAATATTGCTCACCTTATTATACCACTTCACACGGGAGATAGAACGCAGACACCTATGATCAAAAACAGCTAATCTTTTCATGTCTTTCGCTCTCAATGGCCAGGTCTCACAGCCATAAGGTCAAAAAATATAATGGTTGTTGGACGCCGGTAGGAATGCCTATGTTCTAGAATCTGTCGAAGGGTGAAGATATGATCAATACACCCTCTTCCTGGCCTAAAACCTGCCTGGTTTGTGCCTACCAAGCACCACTTAGTCTACGCAGTATTATTGAGCCTAGGATTTTAGATACTATATTAGTCAGGCTAAACCTCAAAAGTGCACAAGTGAGTATGTCACATCCCACACTATATGCCAATTTACGTGTGTGCGTGGACACTCACACATATGGAGGAGGAGTAACAGCGCTTTGCAAATGAGGATGGGAGAGCATATCCCAAAGTGGTTAGAAAAACAGATGAACTTTGGAAAATCGACGGACTACCAACTTCGTCTATAACTAAAACCATCTAATCGGTCTGTGAACCACAAGATTTATGTCAAAACAGCCTTTTTTATTGCTATTTTTAAAAACGGCAAAGAGTGTATATTGAAATACACTGAGGCGATTAGCTATTCGTAAACTTAAGTCAGTGAATAAGTTCGAGAAGAGGGTTCTAGCGAACAACTGCATAACAATCTGTACTAAGACCAACACAAATACCATGTTTTCTAAACACAACAATATATGAACCATTCACCAAACTGCAACTCACCTGATAAGGCGCTGATTGTTGTTGAGATCCACCAGTTGATGAATAAGGTGGTTTAACAAAAGCTCCAGATCCACTGCCTACAACACCAGCAGCAGCAGGAGCAACCGGTTGTCGTTGAAGTAGGCCAGCAGAAGAAAGCTGTTGTTTCTGTGTTGCAGACAACTGGAGATATGCAGCCATAGTGGCGGCTGAATTCACTGCAGATGGAGAAATCGGTGGTTGATTCGGTGTCAGTGAATTTAAAGTTGCAGGAGGTAAAAGTGATGATGAAGTGGATGTATTGATTATAGTATTAGTTCCAGGTGGACTTGGAGCAAATCCAGGAATGATGCGACCGAACTCTTCATAAACTGCCATTTCAGCTGCATTTGGACCACCAGTCTTTAATTTGAAAACAAAAGAAACAATAAATGGGGATGATGCAAGTGAGACACTCTAATAATGATCAGTATCACACACACACACAAAATTCTCAAATTTAAAGTACTTACAGAGAGGCGTAGACCATCAGGCATAGAGGATTGTTGAGGTGACAATTGACTGACCGCCTGCTCCATAAAACGTATAGGACCAAGTTCAGTACGAAGTTTAATTTCACCTTCTAGCTTTTTCTCAACTTCTTTAACAGCTTTCTCTGCAACTGACTTTTGCATATATGCTAGGCAAACATGCATACTTCTACCGACGACTAGATAGGCCAATTGTTGAACAGCTTCTTTCTCTTGACCAGTAGCCGATTGAACTTCAGCAAGTATAATATTTTTTAAGCTAGTCACTAAAGACATTCCCAAAGCTTCTCTTGCAGTAATCAATGACATTCCAGCAGCAAGATGTCGAATCATTTGACAAGCAGCGTATAACATACGTCCAGGATCTGGATCTAGAGCAAAATCTTTACGGACAATGGCTACAACTGTAGTCACAGTGATACGTGCACATCGTTCGAATACCGGTGTAGTCAATTCATTAATTGCTCGTATAACAGCAGGTTCAATCAGGCTTCGCAATCGAGGATTCGCTTGTAATAATGCAAATGAAGCAGTAATTGCATTCGGATTGGTCCCAGTATTTCGACTACCGAGTGCTGCGTTAGTCAGTAGTTCATCCAAATTCAAACAAGCCCGAATACTACGGATATTCACATCTTCATAACGTAATAAATGTCCAGTGAACATGGTACTGCCACCAACACCACCACCACCGCCGCCACCGCTCAAATCACCACCTATATTTATGGAGATGGGAAATTCAGTAAAGCACATTAAGCAAAGCGGCAAACAATAACAGAATCTTTAAAATTCTTAACAAAATTAAATTAACGTTCTAAAAGGAAGCCAGTTTATCAAAATAAAAGTGATTTATTACCTAACACGTCAAGTGTAGTAGAGACATCTCATAATGCAACTTTGACAACGTGATATATGGTTCAGTGTGAAACTATGAGCCATATATTTGTTTATGACAGAGGAACTGATGTTCACTGGTTTAGACGTTCGACTCCCAACCAGTGATTATTATTACTGTAGCTTCGGGTTCCAAGTAGAACATACGGCTTCAATAGCAAGTTTCCACATTCTCTTATTTTCTGCGGTTCTCTTTAACATGGCCCATGACTGTACATAGTCTGCAGTCCTGTCTTCGCTGATTGCTTCTTCAGCCAGTTTGTTGGTTTTCGCCTGCCTGCAAGTCTTCAAGTTTGTGTGACACTAGACATATGTCGTCTAAGTCTAGAGTCTCCTTATAGGTGGTCCCACACATTCCTTTCTCCTCGCTCCCCACAGTCTGACGCATAATCCAGTCATCCAGAAATATCATCGGTGAATATAGGAAGACAGCCTTGTCTTACTCCTATGTTCACTCGGTTATAGGATGAATTGAATAAAATTCGAGTACCCAACTCAATATCGTGGAAGACAGGTCTTTGAGGAAATTTCAACGAAGAAGCCAATTGAACAATAACACAACAACTCAACCTAAAATAAACTTATGACACCCTCCCCAGATTGATTTTTTCTTCTCAGATAAAATCAGACAAGTTGGATGACAAACACAAGCACCCAATGATGAGTTAGAGCTTGTATAACACGAATTGCTTTCTCCTCATGCACAGCAGGTAACTTAGACAGCAGCCGATTGGAGAAATTACAAGGACACGCTAATAAAAAGTACAACATTTTCTTTCTTTCTGTTCCTTTTCTCTCTCTTCTTTTTCCGTTATGTGCTGCTTTGTCTCTTTCTCTCGCTTACGCCAGTTAATAAGACAGCTCCCACTTTTCTAACACCTCCAAACACTGTTTCAGCTTTACCTTTGCTACTGACATGCCAATGTATTTTTGTAACAATGAACTGTCGGTTTCCTCAATCTATGTAGAATTCTATTTATTGATAATGTACTAACTGGATGCAATACTGTAGTAAAAATGCTGAGAATTCCATTCTGTATCACATGTACTGTTTTGGAATAAAGCAAATTATTATTATTATTCACCATGAACACACTTACCCAATGATGAGCCAGTAGTAGCTGCCGACTGACCGTTAACAACAGATTGAGGCAGAGAGTTATTGTGAGTAGGTAAAACACCTTGTGGTGTTGTAGATTGCTGATGAGATAGTTGGGCTTGCTGCTGCTGTTGTTGTTGCTGTGCAGCCGCGGCCGCCGCCGCAGCTGCTGCAGCAGCTACTGGTGTATGCTGAAATGCAGCCATAGCAGCATTCAATTGTTGTTGATGCTGTTGCATAGACAATACTGAGGTTGATGGACAGGTACCAGGTGGACCACCGAATTGTTGTTTCTTGATAGCTGCTACAGCGGCAGCGAATGCCGCTGCTGTTTGACGATTAGGATTTGCACCGGAACCGGCAGCGTTTTGAACTAAATTGGCAATATCTAAACCAGCAGCCTAGATAGGTGAAAAACAAATAAATAAATTCAAAATAATACAGAAAAAGTAACACCATGGGAACCCCTTAATGTAAGATAATTTTTTTGCAATAATGCAATAAATGATTCGCTTAAAGATAATATTTCATTCTAACATGACTCTAACAAAGAGGTTAGAAGGGTTAGTCATACCACATAAGTGAGAAATCTGAGTAAATGCCATGTTAATTAGAAACGCTTCCAACAGTTTATTGCCTTATATTTTCTTTAAAACAGGAAACCTGAGCATAAATGCCACACAATAATAATAAAACAACAAATGGGAAAAATAGGCAGAGAATCAAAAAAAGACTTCATCAGGAAAGGAAGCAGCTATATTTAACCAGATCACACAGTATTCGTCGAATCACTGTCAGAATTCGAATAAAAAAGGAGATTGCTGCACATTCGCCATCGATGATTCCGATTACCTTTCGAGCTACCGATTCAAACTATCTCTAGGATCCCTACGAGTGCATCGTGATGTACCAATTGATGCTAAACCTAACTGCAAATAGCCTTCATTCTACGATGTCACGTCATGTGCTCACTGACCACCTCTCCTCTTCTCCCATCCAGTCCAAAAGTTAGGGAACAGAGACCAGTAGGCGCTCGGATGACATTCGTAGCACACGTCCAGCCCACCAAAGACAGTGTTCCCAGATGACGACACTCAATGAGTGGTGAACTCCAAAGTGTCCAAACACGCTGCCGGACATCAGAATTCCTCAAACGATGATTCCATCGGTCGTAAGCAGTTATACGGAGACAGCGATGGTCGAATGCACAGGGTCGCCACACACCCCATCAGCTCACATAGGCCAGGGTTCAAATGCGTAGGGTAAGACTGAGTGCACCGTAGCACTGTAAACCCGACCTTTTACAGCCAGGCTGACGTCACGATGGCGACGGACATTTCTCAAGTTGACGCATGCGACCCTAGCTTTCAAGATATGGTTGGAAATCTCGTCCATAGCAGTTCCACGAACACTCACACAAATACCCAGATATACGGACATATCTACAACTTCAAACAGTTCACCTGGAAGAGTGGGTGCAAGTACAGGATCCTGCTAATCTTGTGACAGTATCTTGCACTTAGACGGTGCAAACCACAATACCATAATTACAGACACTGATCGCTAAATAGTTCACTGAAGAGTTTCATCGATATACATGCACTTTCGCTGCGCACACTGAAAATAAGACGGTCACGGAGGATAAACAGATACGGAACTCTGAGTGCCGGCGAACCAACAATCTTTCACAACACAAGTATGCAAATGGATCAGATATACACTGAGAAGGCCTTCGATGAATGGCATCGAGCGCCGGGCCTTCGAATAGAACCCGAGTGAAAAGTGACGGGTTGAAAATTTGGGGACGCCATAGCGAAGATCATCATGGAAATGAAATCATTGTGAACAGAGTCATAGACTAAGTTGAAAGTGATGACATACAGCAACTGAAGTCCAGTATTCCAGTCTGAACACAAGGATAGCTTTATTCTCGACAACTGACAGTAGATCCTATGACACAGTTCTATCTGACCTGAAAAGCTAGCCAATCCACACCATTATGATATCTCTCCTTTATCTCTTTCGAGAAATACACAACGAAATTCGGTGTAATACCAATTATAAAAAGTTAGGGTACAATTTGGTGGACCAGGGAATGGTCATCTCATGTAGTAGGATAATCATGCCATCGAGGATATGGCTTCTTCTCATGATTAGTGTAAATATCCGAAGCAATAGGTTGCAAATGCTTTAAATATTCGCCTAAGTAAACAATACTGTGTTAGAGGTCACATTTTACTAAATTTAAGCAAACTGAATAAGAGAAATTATATGCAATAAATTGATGAGGGGGATCTCTCTGTAGCTCAAGTTTTAAGCAGGCCGCCAAAGATGTCCATAATAATAACTAGTAGCCCCCCTCCCTTCTAGCTAATTCATCAAAATGCTACATAACACTGAACCTACCGAATAAGCAGACTGTTGTTGTTGTTGCTGCTGTTGTTGTGCAGAAGATAAAGAGTCCATTGTAGAAACTTGTTGTTTTTGAACTAAGGAATACAGACTGGAGACTTGTTGTTTTTGTTGCTGCTGCTGCTGTTGTGATGATGACGATAAACTTGAGACAGATGGTCCAGTTGAGAATGTTGTTGTTGGTGCTACAGACAACTCTCCTGATGCTGCCGCTGCTGCGGCGGCGGATGTCGAAGAACTAATACCAGAATACATTGATGATGTATCAAGACTAGTTATTGCAGAGGTAGTCGTCGTTGTGATAACAATTTGACCTGTAGTAGTTACACTTGTCCCTGCTGTTGTTGTTGTCGTAGCAATAAAGCAAAGTTCTATGTCTAGATTTGAGGAATGTGTTGGATCCCGTAGGAAATGTGCTGATGGTATCTCGTTCAGATTTAAGTCAAAGGCTCGATAGAGGATTTCGATCTGTAAATTACAAAATAAATAAATAAATAAAGTTGAAACCAGTTGGAAAAAAAAAGCATAATACCACGGCGACGCTCTTATACCAACCCTAGTTATCGAAATGGCAACAGGAAGGGAAAGTATTTTTTTAAGAACTCTACACAAACTTCAGCAACCATTGCCAGTTATTTATGTTTCTACAATACTCACTTACTCAGCGCAATTCACTAAGCATTAGTAACATTTGTTTAGAGAGATGAGACATGTCCAAGCCTGTTGACACGCCTAAACAAGTGTCTTTCACACTGCTTTAATAAATGTTGATATCATATCTCAGAAGTTGTATTCCCGTATCTGGGAGAATCCTTCGTACAAGTAGAAATGTTCAGGACCTACTCAGCATTTGAAACCGAACTTCTGTGTGTTCAAAAGCATTTCACACATTCACTTTCCTCCTACGGAGCAGCGAAACTAACAACGTTCCTATCATAATTTCGCTTCATATTGTAAGTTTATCATTATTATTCCTATTCTCATTATCCTTACTTTACAATCACTCTATTATTGTTCAAATAAAAGCATTGCATTTTATATAAACACTTTACGGTCTTTTCAAAAGTTACTTACTACTTTACACAATTACAATGATTAATCCTTTTCCCACACTTATTACGTCATCTCAACTTCCACCCCTCTTTTTTAAGTTGTTTTTTTGTTTATTCCTTTCCGCTCCGAGTGGGACATCGGGGACTTCAAACTGGAGCTCTGAAGTCCCACTAGAAGTGGTTTTATCAGTTTCACGGGGTGGGGGTTGCTGACCTCACACGCCCAACCCTCCCCCTTTATTGGCCTAGTGAGGTCTAGGAGTGCATCGGTGGAGGATCGAATCCCGAACCATATATGTGGTTGGCAGGCGTTCTGACTACCAATGAACCACCGATGCACCTCTGCCTCCTTTTTCTAATTATGTAGATAACGTCTTAACATTATGTTATATATATTTTCTAAGACAAATTTTACCAGTATCTGATTGGTCTTATGAATTCCTTGTTAAATATGTTTACGATTGTACAGATTATGAAAATGAATCGTAGAAGAGGAATTCTATTCGCTGTTTGCGACTTTTTCTTATGACAATATGGGAGAGTTCCGTTCAGGTAAAAATATGAGGACGGAGATTTAAGCATGCAAGACAATTTTTCTGAAGAAGTTGTGTGTTTCAGGCAGTAAGCCACATTTTTTACCACCGAAACGTTAACAATCAATTCATACCCAACCAGCGATTCAAGATATTTGAAAATGGTTGAATAAAATAGCAAGAATTTTACCAAAATGTACTCATAGTAACTCTCATACACATTACATTGATTTATCATGAAACTTTGCAAAATACTAGGTAAAACATTCTTTGAAGCATCACTGTGTTAAAAATTCGTCACTCCAATGCTGCCTAGTCTGGTCACTTCAATGTGCATTCATACATCTAACTGTTCATCATGTGAAGACAGTTACATAGATAGGACGACTCGGAAAGCCCATTTAGTTTAGTTTTTTAGTTTATCTAATACTCTGACTGCAATGACTGTCAGATCAAATACATAGGTCAAAGTAGTAGAACAAGTGCAGTCAGAGTAGCCGAGCATAAAAATCTAGTAAAATCTAGATTAAATGATCGGAATAAGATAAGAAATCTAGAGAATAGTTCAGCTAGGGCACTATTTTTTTTTTGATTTACAGCTTGATTCCACACCGTATTTTCAGTACAAGTATGGAATTTTCAGCATGGATATCGGTAGCCCAAATTCAGGCATACCATAGATATCGGGTGTGCGCCGGCAGAGGATCGAACCCCGGACCATGTGCATGGTCGGCGAGATTCCTAACCACTGTGCCACCGACGTACATGCAGTTGCATGCAACCATATAGTAGGATGAGATGGGATGACAGTCTAATCTAACAAGATGGAGAGAAAGATCGATGGCGGAGGCTTTATTTATCGAATCAAAAGTACATGCAATAGAAATGATTCAACGTCTGTTTCGGACATCTGGAAAATTCTACTTAGCCTACTAGGGATAATAAGTAATAAAGAAAACTAAAAAACGGAAGTTTTAAAGTTTTGTAGTCATAATTGACACAATTACGAACAATAATAAATTGATTAAAGATTCCCATAATGCAGCAACATTGTGTTTAAAATTCACCTCTCTTTGTATGATTCCAACTCAGGTAAAGGATAAGCTGAGTCTGGCCACCTCAGTATTCATTTATAAATTTAACTGTCCATGTGGAGACAGTTAGATAGGTAGAACGACTCGGAAAGCTCATCATCGCCTTCTGGAGCATTGTTCAACGTGGTTATGTAAAGGAGTCGTAAAGTCAATCAGAAGTTCCACAGTTCCACAACGCATGGTGCATATTTAGCAATGCTGTACTAGGTGGTGCCACCCCAACTCCCTAGGTTGGTAAGCATAGATAGCTGAGGCACAGTTGCAATAAGCTGAATTTTCAACATAATCTTTATATTCAGAATGAGTGTGTTCAATCTCTCCCCAACTCCTTGGCCTTCACCGCTCCAAACCAGAATAGTTGCCTCTCCCGATGACACCGAATGACTATAAATATTATCTGTTTATCTTATTTTATCTATAATGCTAACAGTATTTTCGGTGTCATGTTGTTCTGTATTGGTACATTTTGATCTGCGTTTCAAAACTTAGCATTATTATTAGTAGTAAATTACCTAATCGCCATGTGACAACAGTTATTTTCCCCTCTACCCCTCACTAGTTTATAGTTAGTATACACAGTCTACCTATACAACACTCGCCATTACTTAGATTATCATCAATATTTGTTATGATGATTATCACCACCTTGACTGTTATCCTATCGTGTATATTTTAATAACCACATTAATTCAAATGCCTATGACTACACTAATATTTCACTAAGTAAACGTTAAAGACCGATGAGAATCAACCGAGAATACATAGTTGCTTGCTTAATTCGTCTTGTACAATTTATCACTATGCAAATATTTAAATGACTAAAAGTCAACTGACATGCAGACGTCAGTGGTTCAGCGGTAGATATAGAACGCTCGCGAACAACCACCACGCCAAAGGTACAAGATTCGATCCCCGGCCAATACACACACACCTATATTTCGCTAAGCCGGGGAGGGGAGGGGCGGGAAGTAGTGCCGGTAAGGACGGAAGAGATTGGGCATATAAAGGGTTAGCAACCTCACTGCTAGTGAAACTTCAAGTCTCTAGCTTGAAGCCCTAAACGCTATGGCTCTACTCGAAATGTAATGGGAATAAAATAGATAAATGGATAAAAGGAAATGTAAATATTGATTACTTACTTCAAATCGTAGACAATCTTTCACATTATCCATATCGTATAGTTCACGTAACACCTTGAGAATTGCCATAGTCCATGGATTAGGCGGACGAAAGACTAAACTTTCAGTAGCTCCACGAACAACACGAGCAACAAATGGTACTACATATTGTGTAGGTATAGGACCTTTATAATAAGCTTCATAGATAAGATCTTTAATGTTTAAATCATCATGTAGAACTGGTTTATTACGCGCCAGAGTGATAAGACCAAGAAAACTGCCAAAATTTTTCAAAGTACTACGTGCTTGCATATCATCTTTGTCCAGACGCATATTGCGTAACAGAAACTGTAGAGAAAAAAATTTGAACAAAAACAATGAAATAAACTGGTGTGCATAAACTTGATGTAAATAGTTTAAGGAATTGAAGAAAAACATATTAGCAGCCATGCTATACAAATGGGGAATGAATCTATCTGAACAAAGTGTCAATCTTAATATCTGTTAACGTCATTAATAAGAAGTGAATTTTTTTTCCTTCACGTTCCCCCGTGGAACACAGGGCTTCAAGCTAGTGGCTTGAAGTTTCTGTAGCAGTGTTTATTTTTACAGGATGGGGTTGCCAACCCCATGCCCAACCTTTCCTCTTCACCAGCATTATTTCCGGCTTAGCGAGGTAAAGGAGTGCGTCGGCCGGGAATCGAACCCCGGCTACAGAAACTTCAAGCCACTAGCTTGAAGCCCTATGTTCCACTGGGGAACGTGAAGGAAAAAAGGAAGGAAGGAAGGAACATGTTTGATCTAAACTCATAGGATGGTTTGATGAACACTCCTCACCAAGAGGAATACTCAGCGAGGATTTTTCGATTTGCATATGTATCCCCTAAGGAAACTAACAGTATGTCAGGTATCATAATCAATGTCAAAAAAATATTGTAATGATGAGAAAAGGAAAGACTGACTGGTTTCAACGTAGAACTGCTTCGCACAGATGTGCAGCAGTTCGAGTCGCCACACTTCACTCAGCAGACAAAGCAAGAGAAGAAAGTAAAAAGAAATGCAAAACAGAGGCAGTAAACAGAGATACAAGGCAAAAAGAATAGTAATATCGAAGAACAATTTAGTTTTATTGGGTAATATAAGTCACAAGGAGTGGATACATCAGCACCAGTCATTGAGAACGATGAGTTTGAGCCATATCACCAATTGTCTGTCCCCAGCCATTGGTGTTTAGCGTCCCGAGGAACCCAACCAGTCAGGAAGTCTATACCTTCCTACGTGGCTGGCCTAAACTAACTGTTGTGGATTTCATTGACTGATGAAGCCATCTTTTGGTTTGGTCACCAGTGGCTCTTTTCCAACCTGAACCTATGTCAGCTAACACTGCCCGTCGAGGAAGAGAAGAGGGATGGGAAGAGACGGAGAATTATAAAGGTAAAATAAAAGTATACTACCAAAGTAGATTATGTATGCCGTAAATTCGACGGCTTCTTGAATCTGATTGCGAAAGTTTATTAATAACTATAAAGCCTTTACTCAACACATCATCGTATGATCATCGTTCCTTGAGATGCCATCGTGAGTATTGGAGAAAGCCATTTAGAGCAGTATTCGGTGATGCAAAAAGACAAACATCTTTCCGTACCCCCCCCCATACAACCGCGATGTATTTGCCTCCACAAACACATTTTGATGTGGAGAGAGGATCGACTGACTCTCACCTACATGGGACTTAGGTCTGTAACCCACTCCATAAAACTTTATTTTATTCACTAGGATTTTAACATATCCATCAATCAAATGAACACCACATATAACACATATGTGTCCACCAGGAGATACGCCGCCGGTTAGTCAGTTTTTTTGCTAACTAAATACTTTAGAATTTGACAAGAAGAAGCAACGAGGGGTCACTTGTTGTTGGAGCTATGACATTTCAACATTTGAGTAGGAGTAAACTAGGAATTAAGTCAGTCACATGTGTCAGTAGGAACAAACTAATCTCACTTTGTAAAAAATTATATTCGTAAAATCTCAGAGAGATTGAAATGAGCGATTCCAACTCTCCGTTGTCTGCAACAGAATGCATATCCTAAATCCGTAGTTGTCACCTGACAACTCCAGTAGGTCGAATAAAGCAGCTCAATCTTCAGAAAGAAGGCAAAGCAATAAGTCCGACAGGGTGCTTCTACTAAACTCTAATCCTAAACACCATAATTTTGAAAATACGTCTAATCATAAAATTCTAGATACTAACAGTGTGAACAGACATGAAGGTTTGATGTTAGCTGATGCATAGGAAATCCTGATTAATAAATAAAAATGGATATGTATCACTAATTAATAATACTTGGTCAAATTCCTGACTGTCCATATCTTCCTATGGAGACGTTAAGAAATGTTTTACAACTGTTTACCCACACACGCATGCACACTCTGTATTAAATGTTTAACAAAGGTAGACCAATATTTGTAAGTCCAAGGTCAAATTTTGATCACAGCTCATAAAATTTTGTTTATTATACTTGTTGAATGACTCATGATTGGACAAAGTTTTTAAAAACAAGTGGTGTTCCTTTTATATTTAAACCTCTGTTATGTTAACTTCGATCAATTTCCCTGAAGAAGTTCGGACCAGATTGCCGAACACAAGAAACGTTGGAATTACTCATTTCAATCTCGCTGAGATTTTACAAATATAATTTTTTACAAATGTCTACTTCTCACTCGGCGCCCAAATATTTTAGAACTATTCTGTCTAATCTTGACGACAGTTCATTTGAATTAATCTCACTTTGGTTAACTAATTGATCCTAAAACCCTACAAGAAAGAAGGTTTTAACAAGGGACTATCAAACCACACCCCACCCACACTGTAAAACAAAAACACTTTCATACATTACTCTATGAAAACTTCAAAAGAAGCGCATAGTAAAAAATAATCACGTGTATCGGAGTGTACGGCAAAGACAAAAAACAACGAAGTCACACACACACACACACTCACCTTGATATGTCGGATAAGTTCAAACATCACCTTTGGTCTAACATTTGGTACACGTTCTTGAATATGATCAAGAACTATGGCAAATAAATCATGGAATGTTTGTTCCACAGGGATTCGTTTACTCACAAGATAAAATGCAAACCATGGGATTAATCGATCCTCAGATAGCAAACTTGCTAATTCATTTGATTTCTCTTTAGCATTCACCTTGGATACATTATTGAATAAAAAGTAGATACGATCAGAAATACTTTCTTCTGGTGCATCAGGCGCTTTTAAACAGACATCATTTGTAGCACTAGAAGTTGACATGGTTAAATTTAAACTAGTCGATGGTGTCAATGATTCAGCGTGTTGTTGATAATGTCCACCACCACCAGCAGCGCCACCGCCACCGGCACCGGCAACACCACTACTACCACTACCGATAAGTTGATTCGATGGATTACTGCCAGTAGTTGTTAAATTCTGCATATACAAAGGGGGGCAAAAAAGTGAAAAAAAAATCAGCTATTCGATTAAATTAAAAATAAAATCGTTTATACACTAGGCAACAATTAAAGCACAATACATCGACAGATAAACTGAAGCGAATCATCTAATAGACTAACCTTAGTTAAAGAAGCATTCTGTTGTGAAATTGTATAATTCTTTATGGCGATTTCAGAATTTAGAATGTACTGTAAACAGTAAGAAAACAACACCATAAAAAGGTTAAATAATAATTAATAATAATAATAGTAACGCTAATAGATAATGAGAGACAATTAAGCAATATGAATTCAAGTGTTAATTTGCAGGAATTTCATCATGGGCTTACATCATCCGGTTAGAGTACCATTGGAAAACCATCAGCTGGGAGTAGGCAGAAGTTGGAATTCATGGGCTGGCTATTCAATCGGGTCCTAGTGAGTAGTGGTTTAATGGTCTACGAGACCACCTTGTAACCGGAAGGTCCTGTGCTTGAACCCTGAGGGTGGGGATGCGTGCTTCTGAGGAGTCTCAAATTATTATTATTATTCCCTTGGGTTCCTAGTGGAAAATAGGGCTTCAACTGCACGCCTCCACTTGCTTCTGTCTTCTAATGTACTTTTCACCTGCATCCATGTTGGTCCATTCTGTTTCAACTCTTCTTCACACGATCTCCTCCATGTCACCATTGCACGTCCCACTCGCCGCTTCCCTTTCGGCTTCCACTCGAGCTATGGCCTGATGGATGGGCGATGTCATCCAGCCACCTCCTCAGCCAGCGAGTGTCCAATCCATTTCCACTTCTTTCTCCGGCATATTTGTTGGGCGATTGCTTCTTGTTTCGTTTCTTCTCATACTTTCTTGTTGGTTCTTGTTCTTTCCGGCCGCCATCTGATCTTCAGTATAGAACGAAGACAGTTGTTGATAAAGGTGTGCAACAGGCTGTTGGAAATATTCTTTGTGACACACTGGCCAAGTTTCTGATCCATCCGTATAGAAGAACTGACTGACTTGATGTTTGTATTGAAAATCCGAATTTTGTTGTTGATACTGAGTGACGAAGATTTCCAGATTGGTTTCAGGAGTCTCAAATTAGGCTGACGAAATGGCTGTTTAGTAGTACTACTCCCAGCTGGTTTTCAATGATTCTCTCACCGATGTCAGCTCATGATATTTATATTGGTGTAGACTAAAACATCAAACAGCTACTGGACCTTAATACAGAATTGTAGAGCACACTTAGGTTTTAGCGAAAAATACCACTGCGACTCAGTATTAGGTAAGAATAAATACACCTATTAATATGTTATATATTATTACTCTATTGGCTTCTGAGTGATACGCCACATCACTTCATCCTGTTTCCACGGCTACCCACCATAAGCTCTGATCTCCTCCACATGTCGCCCCCGAACCCATGCCCAACTCGTCGTTCTCCGTCCGGGTTCTACTCGAAGATCTGGAGCATTCAGAAGATATAACATATGAAGGTGAGGGGACTCTATTTATCCCCCCCCCAGCTACTTTATTCAGCGTGAAATCAACCAATCGCCTAATCATCATTTGAACAATGGAGGGGGACAGCACGTCGTAAGGCTTTGGGCGATTGAAGAAACCATAAGTGCCTCGAGTTCGAATCTCACTGGGAAGACCATCATATCATCATTCACTGGTGAATACAGGTACATACACCAGCAGTTGACAATTCCCAAATTAAATGAAACGCCCCCCCCCCTGGATCCCACTACTGCTATTGTCACCAACCATCAGATTGCTTTAAATTAACATAAATTAAAATTGTTTTTATTTTTTTAAAAAGAACAGCTTACACTTTGAAGGTCATGTGGAAACAGTTTAAAGACTGGACAACTGGCCAAACAATTTGGAAGATTTGAAAAATGCACAAATCTAGAAAGGTAAACATAAAACCAAGTCATCAGTTTATCAATCTATCTATTCTAAATGTATATATAAATAAGGATGGGAATAAACTTACGTATTTTTGGCTTTCATAAGAATATGTACCATTGCTCGAAACAATGGTGCATCCATATGTGTTTCAGGTGGCAGAATAAACAGTCGAGCTAATACAGAACGCCATAGCATCGAAAGTGCACGCATTGAGAAGCTGTAAGGTAACAAATAAAAAAAAGAAATACACGATCAGTCATTATATCATAGAGGAAATTGGACGTAAGGCACTTTCTCTCACAATCGCCACCTAATACAAAAAGGACTTACAGATGAGTACTAGCTGCAAGAACACTACCGTACAAATCAGCGATCAACGGTAGCATAACTTCAGGATAATCTTGTAAATGCCGAGAGACTTCATCCGCTAGCATACGTAGAATTCCATCTAAAAGTTTTCGTTGAGCAGGTGTGCCTTGAGTAGCAAAATCGTACAGTGTTTTGAACATTTCATCTGGTGGACTAATGCCTTCCAATAGTTTTTGAAAGAATGTATTCGCCTGAAATCGAGAAAGAGAAGGGGGAAAAAAGTTGAAGATTGGTTAACACACCCACATACCGAAACTCCGAAAGTCTTAAAAGTATGTTGCCAAGCCAGGTATTATGAGGTATTACTGCTGTATGCAATGACGATGCTGGCAAAAAGAAGGTTGATCACTGAAATAAACACTTAACCCTAAGAAAATCAATCTAATCCTCTGGGGCATAGTCAGTGACAAAGAAGGTTTTAATGGCTTGCCAGTTTTTAACTGACTTTCAGTTGATTTTCTTTCAGTAAGGTAGGGAATCAATTTTAAAAATGAAATAATAGTAAGAAGTCTTCTGGGACTTGATGAATGTATTAAGATAATCTAATTCCATAAACACACACTTGTGTATATGAATTTTTATCAATAAATGAATGGCAATCAACAACTAAACACGAAACAACAATTTCCAATCACTGAGCATCTAGATTTTCTTTCATCGTATAGGAAACTGTACACATACATAAACACACCTTATATATGCAAAATGAAATTAGACATCAGCCTAATTCCACTTAATATCCTGTTGTCCATCCATCAATGAACAACAACAACAAACACTAATCCCTATCACAATGGGAGAAAATTGTAGAAAAGAGGCCGTTTCTTCCAGTTTCACTAAGCAGCATTGCGGCGTTCTAACTACAGGCAGACATCACGGATGAGGGTGTCGAAAAGATGGACAGGATCGGAAGGCAAGACATGCATTCACCACTCGTGAAGAAATTAGTGTAGAAATCTGCTCTACACCCAGCAACAGCAACAGCAGCATCAAGATTAAGAATCGGGTTTTCAACACGAATCATACGTCAGTCAGTTTTCTTATATGCGGTCAAAAACCTGGTGCATCATCAAGGGCAATTATAAAAGACTAGAGATCAGATGTCCAAAAGGGATTAGCTACAGGGAACTCTAGGAAAGAACCAACCAAGAATCACATGGCCCGAAAATTATCCTAAGGCAAATGGCAATGTGTTGCAGGGCCATCGCTCAAGTGGAATGTAAATGCGGAGGGGGGAACCGCGAGTTGGGAGTCTGAGGGTCGTGTGAAGAGGAAACAGGATCCTGTTGGCCATGGAGCCAGTCACCTAAAAAGACTGCAGAGAGCAGGATGAAATGGAGGTGTACTGTGGTTGTTGCTGTAGCCCTATATTCCACTCGGAGCTCACTCCGCGGAATATTTTATAATTAATTATAATGAATGCACCCAACACACACACATACAACCTAGAGAATATATGAAAACTGAAATAAGGAATCAAGTTATTTCGAATTCTTCGGCGAGTCACAAAGAATATTTCCAACAGCCTGTTGCACACCTTTATCAACAACTGTCTTCGTTCTATACTCAAGATCAGATGGCCAGAAAGAATCACCAACAAGAAGCTATGGGAAGAAACAAAACAAGAACCAATCGCTCAACAAATATGCAGGAGAAAGAAGTGGAGATGGATTGGACACTCGCTGAGGAAGCCGCTGGGTGACATCGCGCGTCAGTTAGGCCATAGCTCGAGTGGAACCCGAAAGGGAAGTGGCGAGTGGGACGTCCAAGGGTGACATGGAGGAGATCGTGTGAAGAGGAGTTGAGACATTATAGACTAACATGGATGCAGGTGAAAAGTACAGCAGAAGACAGAAGCAAGTGGAGACATGCAGTTGAAGTCCTATGTTCCACTAGGAACCCAGGGGAACAATGATATAATAATAATAACATGTATCCATCCGTCTGACGTTTAAGGAGATAGAAATAACGACAGAATGATGTACACTGGAGTAGTCAGGCTTACTTATCGTGTATAATCAAAGGAAATGGATGATGTTGATGACGATGACCTCTAAATAAGCTGAATTTCCTGCGACTGTTATTGTCGTTTTGTTTTGTGATCGATATCTCTGTAAACTCTACTTTTTAATGATAAGTGATCATGTGCACTTATTGACTGATTTACAGCAACAACAATAACAACGAATATAACCAAAACAAATAATAATATGAAATTGGGGTCATTGTTATAAGCCAAAAGACTGAGATAATGAGCTCACTGACTGAAAAAAAATGAGCCAAAAATATTACTAGAAACAAAATTTGTATTGACGAAATATAGAAGAATGTTGCTTAATTTTTAATAAAAACAGGGCAGCCCTGGATATATTTTAATAGAACTATTATGGCACAACATATTATTATTGATACAGATAGACAATTTAACTTTTATAACCAGTGTTGATTAATTATATAGACTCTAAAGTTTGTTTTTGCTTTGACATCCAGCGGAGTGTGGATGGGGGGTTCCTGTCATCACCCGGATGCTCACTCATACCTCTATCAATGATTGGAGGAGTAGGGTTTAAACCCATACCGAACGCTGGTCCGGGAGATTCCGAAAGTCAAGGTAAACCTTTATCAATCTGAAATCAATTTGGAACAAAATTCGGATTTTCACCACAATTGCTAGGTCAATCCAGTCAGTCAGTTCTTCTATATAGATCACAAACTTATACTGCGTGCCTATCAGGAAAAGTATTTTCAACGGCCAGCTAGCTACAGACTTTTATCAACAGCTGTCACCTTCGCTGGCTCCATATTGAACACCGAATGAACAGAAGGAATTGGCACCAAGAAACTCTGGGAATAGACCAACAGGCGAGAACTTATTGTTCAACAATAATGTAGGAGGAAATGGAGATGGATTGGGCACATGTTCCCAGTGGAACATAGGGCTTCAAGGTAGAGGCTTGGAGTTTCTGTAGAAGTGTTTACTTTTACAGGATGAGGTTGCTAGCCTCATGCCCAACCTTTTCTCTTTATCGGCTTTTTATTACTGGTTTGGCGAGGTAAAGAAGTGCGTCGGCTGGGGATCGAACTCCGAACCATGTGCATTGATTGGTTACAAGATTTCACCATGAGCTGACATAGGAGGCTAGAGAACCATTGGAAAACCAACTGGAAGTACTGGACAACTGTTTCGTCACCCTAGTTTGGGACTCTTCATCAGTACAAACCCACCAGGACTCGATCCATGTAATTCAAATAAAACTAGTACAAAGAGATATATCGTAACCCTACTAAACACCCCCACACACACACCTATTTACGAAAAAAGAGGTAAATACCATCACACACTGTTTAAGAGAATACACTTTTTGCCTTACCTCGGCTTCCGCTTCTTTACTCAACTGAATTTTAATAGGTTCATTCACAAATGAAAGTTCCATAGGTGGATGTTCCATTGGCAAGGAGAAATTGTTTAAGAAATTATTACTATTCAACGTTGGAATGTTGTCTGTGGTCATCACAGATGGACCGATTAGGCTACCACCACCGCCACCACTACCAACAGGGGTCTGTGCTGCTGCCTTGCGTCGGGGTGCTGGAAGCTATAATGAAATAGTTTGCATAAACATAACATAACACAAAAGGTGAGAAACAGCAGTGTTAGTTTGTAATAGTAGACATAATCTAAACAACAAATACTAAAAATATCGATCTGTGGTTACATAAGCGCAAGTACACGCACACACACACACACACACACGGGCACAGAGGACAAGAAAAATGAACTAAGCTGACGATAAACAGCAGTATATATATACACATATGTATCTGCGTATGTCTTTGTGTGTGTGTGTGTGTTTGTAGACCTGAAGGTAAAGAAAGGAATGAGCTCACAATTAATTAGCAGATGAGATTACATAATACACAATGAATGAATAAATAGTAATGATAAGAATAGAACTAACGCGCGTGTGAAGTTATTAATAAAATATAGATAGATACTGGGTAATACAAAATTATATCACTGACATTAAACATTAAAATCAATATATGGTACGATTGCTAACATGACTGACTGACTGACTTAGTTTCATATGATGAAACTTTATTAATATTATGAAGGAGACTAATAAATACACGAATTAATAATAACAATAATAAATTGCATCACTGATATTATTGTCTGTCTGGTTGATAGCATCCCACCGCCTAAAACTTTCCCTCTTCCCCGGACTTACTACTACTACGACTACTGGCTAGCTCAGGAGCAGTGAATCACAAATGGAAAGACTAGCAGGGCCACATCATCATACACGCGGAGGGAGGGGCAGACAACATTCTACCACCTGAAAAGCAGCAGGTAGTATGTGTGAATTATAAATATACAGTATCTGACAGTGTAGTAGCTAACCATGTGAAATATTTGCAGCATATGTCCATATAAGTGATGATTTGAGTATTTCTCCAAGCTTTCCCCCGCCCCGTGTCAGTACATCAATGAGTCAATTAGTCACCTTTTAAACAGTTCATCTTTCTGGGGAATGCAGGTACATTCATCCAGCTGGTAGATAGGTCCCAAATAGGACGAAATGCGCATCGTAGATTACATTGCCAGTCACCATCCACACCAATCAGTAAACGCTTAAATAATGCAATGATTAAACCTTGGGATTTCAGATTTAACCATATGACTATTTGAAGTAAATGGGGTAGATGGAATCCAGGATGCACATATCACCCTCCTTATTTGAGACTCATCCGTCAGCTGGATGTACCTGGTGCCTGCCCCCCACTGAATCTCGAACTTAGTACCCATTGTTTCAAACATCAAAGTGTTATCCATTGAACCAATTGGGTCAACGAGAGCCATCTTCTGTGCCATTTAGATTTTCCCGTTGGTTGATTGGACCGAGGTGGACATGTCGACTACTTGAGCAGATGCTTCGAAGGACGATATCTGATTATTTAGCTTCAAGTAAATTGGTGGATGAGAGATGGAGGCCTAGTATCTCGGTCCAGTCAAACAAGGAGAAAGTTCAAATTGAATCAAATGATGTCAATACTTGTTCATAAGTACACTAAAATACAGCTTAGACATAACACCTCTTTATTGACGAGTAGTCAATAGAACTACTTAGGAGGGACAAACAAAATTTTTAAAAAAAGGAAAGGAAAGAGATAAGTAAGTAAATAAGAACAGAACTCACTCTATTCGTTTGTAAATGAGATTGAGTTGAGCCAGCTCCACCTGTTTTCATAGCCGATACGCTATTACTGGCGCTATTGCTGCTACTTGATGATGAGACAGATTGATTGTTAGAACGATTAAGAGCTAGAAGAGATACGATGAACACGGAAATTATGCTTCGAAATAGATCTTACCTGAATTGATAATTAACTGGAGTAGAGTAGTTAAGGATTGATGTACTTCAGCAAGAATTGGACGGGAAACAAAACATGGACTAGACCTAGATGAGAGATATAAGACAAAAAGAAAACAAGTACCAAGATTATTAGGCATTGTGAAGAGAATAGTTCGAAAGAATTTACTTAGTAATTACTATTAGACAACATTATTCAAGATACATTCACGATTGATTTTTTCTGAAGAAAAATCACTGTGAATATACACCACCTGAGGAACATAACTAGGATTTGTTTAGTGAATGGCATGGAATGCAAGCATAAATATAAATAAGGCTGCTTGAGTGCCACAGCTGAATATGTTGGGGACGCGAGGCACAAATCCAAGTTGGCAATTTTTTGAGAAGAGCTAGTGGTGGTCAAAACAAAACATGGCTTCACCAGTCAGTGAAATCCACAACAGTTGGTCTAAGCCAGCACACCGCGAAGTAGGGAGGCGTAGACTGCCTGACTGATTGGGGTCCTCAAGATGGTAAGAACCAATGAAGACTGGAAATCATCGTTGTCAGTGTCTGGCTGGCGAAGAAGCATTCACCCATTGTGACTTGTCATATCCGATGAAACTATTGTTTTTCCCTCAATCACATTTGTGTCCATTGTCCCTCTTTTGTTGAATCCCCGAATAGCGTCTTTTGTTGCTTTGTGTACGGTACATGGAGGGAGAGTGGGAACTGGAACTGCTAGACATCTGTGGAAATTTCTATGTTGAATACAGTCTGTCGTATAATGCCATTTGTAGTTTTGGAGATATCTCAACACCTAACCTAATTAAGATACTCGTCCAATTGCAATTATGTAAGTGGTCATTGAAGGTAATGTACTGAAGAATATCGCACCATACCTCTTATAACTTCGTCCTTCCCCTCACGTAACACTTTTCCAAGCTTGTTTAAATGACCATTGGGGTGTGCAACAGATATCACGTGTAGTATGTGGTAAGCAGCCCCTCTAAGTCATTTGATGACTGCATACATGTAAACAAGTTCATATGTGATCATATCTTGTTGTCTGTAACATTCAAAACACGTTTAGTTTCTCAATTAACTAATGTCAGTAACATATGTCCTACCCATCTCACTCAATCAATATAACTTCACAACATAATCGATTCATTTTTTTCCTTACCTAGCACTCGATCGCTGACTCAGCAACACAATATTACTCACCCTATTATACCACTTAACACGGAATGTAGACAAAACACACACACCTATTATCAAAGTCAGCTATATCTTCCACTTTCAAAGGTTATGTCTCACTAACAGACATAAAGAAGGATAGATCGAACTGCTACTGAGCAGTACACACGTTCTTTGATTGACAGCCAGCCGGATATCACGTCAACGCCCGAGATGGCATTAGACAGAGATAGTAGAAAACTGAATATCTGAATGGGGGGGTTCTAATGCTATAGCACCCTTACATATTAAATAAGTATCTTCTCTATAGTATTGAAATGTTGACTGAGTTTCGACATGAAACTTTGCACAGAAGTCCACCAGTTCATATTGCCACACTCCGAGTAGCATACAAACGCAGACAAAAAAGAGATTGAAAAAGATTATAATAAGCAGAACTGTGAGGGAGAAAGAATATTAGTAACACAGAAAAACATTACAGCAGATAACAAAAGGTAAATGTATCTGTGCCATTTGGAACGATTTTGTCTCATATCTCCTATAGTCACCGCCAAGAAGCTTAAACCTCAATAACGGGTTGGCTGGCTCAAACTAGCCGTCATGGACTGACTGACTTCAAGTTTTCGTTTGAACACCACCACCAACTCTATGTCAGTTAAATCCCTATAAATGACCCCGGTTTACTAGTTTCGATTAAATCTAACTCAAACCTAACTTTGAAATTTGAGTTCTACAATATTCATTACTTTCGCTGCCCCATGACAACACCGCAAACACACACACAAACATTTACGAAACATCAAAAATAGCGATATATATATATATGTTAACTTGGTTTAAGGTATTTGGTATTATTTCGCCTATCGATCAAGTATTTTGTTTCAATCTGAGTTCCTGACAAAACAAAGTCTTCCGTATTGATTTTTTTGTTGAACAAAAGTTCGCTAGAAAAGTGTGAAACAACTATTCTTTTAGTACAATCTCGTCAAATAACGTTGACAATTTCGGATATAGGAAGTTCAGTTCAGTTCAGTTCAATGGAGGCGACCAATAATGCTACTATTATTGATTATCGATTATAATTTAGAACAAACCAACTTTGGTAGTAATATCAATATATAGGCACCACAAAAGCCTCCACCATAACCTTAAAACCCGTGAATTGAAAAAAAAATAAGATCAATTCACATTCATTGAGTTTACGTTTCTGGTTAAAACTAGGTTAGTTCTTTTTTAATTTTAATTGAGGTAGAAAATTGTAAAAATAAAAACAAACTATGAGAGAAACTAAGTTTACTCAGAGTGGTGAGAAAGAAACAACCTACACTAGTTTCTTTTTCAAGTAACTAACTTACAAATAGTAAATATGAATATTGATATAAAGTCAAACTACTTCTCCATAGTACCAGTTGTAAGATTTCAAGACACACGACACTTAAACTCACAAGAAAACCACACAATGAACAAAATTATGTAACTTCCAGACACTGAATACATATTTGAGTAATAAGCACAAGCTGAAGAACACAAAAACATGGAAACCTTGGGAATGAATTATGAAATCGCTACACTCCTTTTTTTAAATCCTATTTCAAATAACCACATAAAGTTAATCACGGTCTCAAGGATTTATAAGGACCTAATAAGGAAGGACACGTTTGTAATCATAAAAACCATCAGCTTTATATAACTGCTGTAAGTAAAGAAAAAGGCGTGAAGGAAATTGAAATGAGACAGGTATCAGCGAAGAACACGCAATGATAGTGGAACAATCGCGAGATTTCAGTACAAAAAAGAAAATCCCCACTTAGATATTTAGCCGACTGAAATATTGAGCAAAAAAATTACGAGATGACTAAACCATATTTTATTGGTTTCCACACAAAAATGATTCGTTTCTTTCGGAGAAACGACCGATTTAGAGTTTACACGAATACTGTGTGTTGTCTCACAACAGAAGTGTGTGGAAGAGGTAGTCAAGAATTCGAAGGCCACTTTTTTATCAAATCCATTCATTCATCATATTGCAAAATATCAATTTGGTTCAAAGTTAGTGTTTTGTTGACACTTTTTCACAGCACTGCCTGCCTACAAGCATAAACTAACAAGCCTACACATAGAAACGTGGACTAAAAGCGTGACTTAATTTTTATTTAATTGCCAAGCTTAGTAGTAATATATTGTTATTTTTAGAAACCTTTTAAAAACTCCCGTTTTTAAAGAGTGCGCCCTGAGGTCATATAAATATTTGATGACTTACGATAGACAAATGGTAATTCCACATATTGTCATAGCAACACTCTATAATAGGTGATTCGGTTATTCTCAAATGTAACCTGTACTGAAGCCAGCATCATCACATAATCGGAGCACTGGAGACAATACACCAACCATCCAGGTAACTACTACTACTTCACATTCATACATTTTCAAGGATTCACATTGGTAATTCAATCCAATAGAACCCACTACAACATTCCTATACAACACACGTATGAATCAATAAGCGTGCGTAGAGAGAAAGAATAACCGCTTTCTACCTAAAGAAAAAATCAATTTACTAGCTAATAGTCATGGTACTTTTTGCTGCAGCAGCATGTTTTGTTGATAAATTATTTAGAGATTATAGGATTTTAAAAAAATCTGAAGCAATGTGAATAACTCAGCCAAAAAAGGTTTTTATCACAAAAACAATATTCAATACACCCAGTCAATGTATGCGCGCATGTACTTGGATTTTACACAAATTTGTTTAAGAGAAAATGTTTTATAGAAAAAGAAGAAAGTGCACGACCAGTGTAAAATTGAAGATGTTCTGATTGTTATTATTTGAAGATAGTGATTTATGATTCCACTGGCACTTTTTCAAAGTATGTTTAACACAACGTCAGATAGATCAGGCGGAAGAAAACAGACAGCTAAACCAAAACATTCCGTCAATCAATATCTCCTCTGAAAACTGGATTGAGTCAACCGCTTAAGGAGGTGTAGACTGCCTTCGTTAGGATCTATAAGAAGTTGAGAGATCTAAAATGGTGTGAGATTATTGCTGGATACGGTCCCATGGTGCCCTCTAACTCTCAAATGTACAGAGGCATTCACTCCTTTTAATTAACCCAGATCCATTAAGTCGTGTTTTCCATGTTACTATTCCTCCCACTCATTTCTGCTCATCTTATTTCTCTTTTCTCTACCTATGTGGACTATATCGAGGAGTGATCTTAATGCATATCCCAGCTAATTGCAGCGTCACCGTTACTATGATGATTTAATTGTTATGTATTTTGTATACTTCTGAAGAGAAATTCTGCATTAAAAAGCTTTTTCCTGGCGTGACGTAACATTCTTGAACAGTGTTACACATTTGCGGCACTTTTATCAGAAAATTTGGATTGATACTGATATCTGTGCAATGTAGTGGATTAAAGGAGGAAGTAAGTTCAAAAGTTGAACGTATATTTTTGGCTTTTCATGAAATCATGCTGGCATATTTGGACCTATTTGCTGAAACGCCCGGATAAAGTAGGTGGTGTCACTTTAAAAAAAAAGGATATGCCTTAAAATCGTCCTATATGAAGTGTGGCATTTTGGACTGCTGCACTGATATGTACAAAGTTCTGTCTTAAAACTCAATCAGTAAATCAGACACTGTTGGAAAGTTGTAGTAATTGCATATTCTTTCAATCGCGGGTATAGGGTTTTGTCACTCATTGACTATACTAATCTCCGGTTTATGCAACAGTTGCGCTTCACGCAAATCCTGTCTGACAGAAGTCTACTTTAAGTCTTTCGGCGGCATCATTCTGACTACTGTGATTAGAAGCTGTAGGCCATGCAGTACGTAACGTGCTTTAAAGTATCAGATACAACAATTCACATGTAAATATCAACATGACACGTATTAA